TTAGTAAATTAAATAAAAGTATAATTTCTTACCGCATGAGACATCGCCACATATTTGGCATATTTTGTGTTTTATTGAATTTGACATTTTGATTTTAATGAACTAATTGAAATAAATTATTCTACATAAGGCTTAAACTTAAAAACATTATGTAACACTGGCACAATATTGTGAGATTGGTTTAAACCATATTTAATATATAAATTAAAAATATATTTTATAAATAAACTGTAATGTTATGTATATTACTGCATTTTGATGCTATTACATCCATTACCAAGAATCGTATCATCGTAAAAGCACTTATCTCGGTAACGTATGCTCACTTGCAATGCTCTCTGAAAATACAATGTTTAATAGTAATTTAATTATTATAAAAGTATTTTGCAAAAGATCAACGACTTTCTATCTATTTATTAAAAAACTTTTATTTTTAAAAAGTTTTGAAATTAAATTAAACATGGTTTTAATAATTAAATTACTATTAAACATTGTATTTTCAGAGAGCATTGCAAGTAAGCATACGTTACCGAGATAAGTGCTTTTACGATGATACGATTCAAGAGTCCTTGATCTTTAGTAAATTTATAATTTGTTTAGTAAATGACTAAAATAATACAATACTCCAACATTCTAGAATAAATTAGATATAAATAATACTTTTTGGATCATTTTATTAATGCACAGAATATTTGATTAAATTTTTAAATATTATTATATTATTATTAATATCTAATTGTATCCTGTAAAGAATAAAGCAAATATTGTATTAATTACGATCGCATATTTCCCTATAAAGTGGTGCATGACTTAAATCATAGCCTTTTGAGTGCTCAACAATTTGTTCACTCAATAAATTCAAATATTTGACAACAGTTTTCAATCTCAAGAATTTTGCTTCGGCTAAGAATTTCGATCTGTATTTCATTGATAAGTATCGATGAAATAAATAGATGTAAACCTGTTGTTGATATCTATATAAATGAAATATCATTATTATTGAAACACTAATTAAAATTATACTAGTAACATACTTAACCATTTGTGTGTTGTTTAGTTTCGGCCGGTTAGGATTAAAGAGTAGTATAGCTGTTAACTACAAAACAAATATTATTATTAATAATATAAAAGTAAACTTATTGTAAATACAGATTATTTACAAAATCAAGAATAATATCATCTGATTCCCAGTCGTGTCCCATATATTGGAGAATCACTTTATGGTATTCATAATTACTGTAGATTTCAATGCCATGTGAATGCCCCCGTAATGTATCCAATTTGACTAGATACGATCTATTATTCTAATAAATATTTTAAATCAAATAAGAGTTGTCTAGTGACATTTTTAAAAAGTGCTTACTAAAACTATATTCCAATGTTCTTGTTCAAAATTAAATATTGAGATCATTCGTATGATATTGATCTCAATGGATGAGTATTTAATTAATACCATTTGATCGCTTTCGCATAAACTATTGAATTCAGTTAACAGTTTTGACATTTTAATTATATCTCTGATCCCATTGTCATGTTTAGTATGCAGCAAATAGAGTCCACTCATTATGTCATCAATTACAATTTTGTCTGTAGCATTGATATCAATCTGAAATGTTTTGATGCCATTTAATAATTCATTAAACTTCATGCCCTCTAACTCATTGAATTGTATGTTATAATCGGTGACAGGCCTTATAACAGGCACCACATTATATTCCCGATCACTTGAAGTCAATACAAACTCATTAGTATTTGAGTTTAAATCTTCAATCTCTATAACACTATTACAGCCATTAATTTGATTGTCATCTAAAGGGTTGTCATCCAAGAAATATAGTGACAATTCATCGCAAGAAATGGTATTTGAATCTATGCTAACTTGCAATTCATTTTCTCGTTGTATACATTTGTTGTCCTTTTTATGTTTTCGGGAATATACTAAATTCTATGAAAAATAAAAAAACTTAGCAACTAGTTCATTTAGTAAAACAGTACCATTCATACGGGTTTCATTCCAACGGCTAAGCATTTATTCAATCGACACCTTTTGCAACGCTTTCTACTATCAAAAGTTATTTCACAATTGCCACCCAAATAACACTTTAATTGCTATTTAAATGTATAAATATATTGTTATTTGTTATGATTTTAAAAAATATTATTTTATTTAACCGATTCTTTGAGCCCATTTCGGCTGAAAAACGATTTACACGACTCGCAAGTGATTGCATTAAAATGTGTGCCTAAATGCATATAATTATTAGTAAATTAAATAAAAGTATAATTTCTTACCGCATGAGACATCGCCACATATTTGGCATATTTTGTGTTTTATTGAATTTGACATTTTGATTTTAATGAACTAATTGAAATAAATTATTCTACATTAAGCTTAAACTTAAAAACATTTTTATAACACTGGCACAATATTGTGAGATTGGTTTAAACCATATTTAATATATAAATTAAAAATATATTTTATAAATAAACTGCAATGTTATGTATATCGCTGCATTTATATGCTATTACATCCATTACCAAGTGTCCTTGATCTTTAGTAATATTTGTTTAATAAATGGCTAAAATGGTACATACTCGATTTTTTAAACATTCTAAAATAAATTAGATATAAATAATGCTTTTTGGATAATTTTATTAATGTACAGAATATTTGATTAAACTTTTAAATATTATTATTAATATCTAATTGTATCCTGTAAAGAATAAAGCAAATATTGTATTAATTACGATGACATATTTCTCTGAAAAGTGGCACATTACTTAAATCATTGCCTCTAGAGTGACCAACTATTGATTCACTCAATAAACCTAAATTTTTAACAACATTTTTTAGTCTCAAAAACTTTGCATTCGCCAGTAATTTGGATCTGTATTTCATTTCCAAATATCGATGAAATAGATATATATAAATATGCTGTTGATATCTACGACAATAGAAATGACATTTTAACAACAATAAAGGTAATTACATTAATTGCATACTTAACAGTCTGTCTATGCATTAATTTCGGTCGATTGGGATTAAATAGTAGTATAATTTGAATTGTATGCTCTAACTCATTGAATTGTATGCTATAATCGGTGACAGGTCTAACAACAGATATAACATTATAATCCGGTACAGTTGGTGTCAGTCCATCAACAGTATTAATATTATCATTTTCTAAGACACTATTACTGCCATTAATGTGATTGTCATCTGAGGGTCTGTTGTCTGAGAAATATAGTGACAAATATTCATCACTACTGGTGTTGGAGTCAATGATAACCTGCATTTGATTGTCGTCTGTTAAGCCATTTTTGTCTTTATTATGTTTTCGAGAATGAATCAAATCCTATGTATTATAAACATTACAAAAGTTTTTAACTAAATTTTATTACATTTATTAAAACTAAGTGTTCGTACGGTTCTCATTCCGGCAGCAAAACATTTATTCAGTCGACAACTTTTACATCGTTTTCTACTGTCTACAGTTATTTCACAGTTACTACCTAGGTAACACTTTAATTGCTGTTTAGATATAGTAACATATTATTAATAATTGTAATTTATAAATGTTTGTAAATAAATATATTAAGACTTAACCGATTCTTTGAGCGCATTTCGCCTGAAAAACGATTTACACGACACGCAAGTGATTGCATTGAAATGTGTGCCTAAATACAGAGTATACATTACAATAAATAGTAAATTAATACAATTTACAATAATTACTAACCATACGAAACATCACCACATATTTGGCATTTTTGTGAATTTGACATTTGAATTTTAAATACACTTATTCGAAGTAAACTATAAATACTTTATTTTAAACAAGAAATTTACACATTGTTTAAACATTTGACACAATTAATAATAATACAATGTTGATTCTTTACAAAATTTATCTATTTCTTATCAAAAAATGACTATGTTGGTGTTTATCAAATAATACATCCATTATTATCAATATTTAACCCGGCATCTGTCCTTGATATTTCGTAATAATGTTTGTGTAATAATTACTCCATAGAATAAATGTTAAAATTTAAACATTAAAACTACAAAATCATTTCAATCTATTATTTTATATTTATTATAATATCAATTCATGTATTACAAGTTTACTATCAAATTCTGCTTAGAATTAAAAATCTAAAAATTAACCTGTATTTATTTATAAGAAAAGTAACATAGTACTTAGGTGAATATTACGTTAAATACCATAATAAAATTAAGGTTTTTAGTTTTGAAATAAATATAAAATATATTACTTATTAATTTATATGGTTATCGATTAATGAAAATAAATTGTGAAATTTCAGTAAAAGTATACATTACAATCTTTAATAATATACAGTAACTTATTAAATCTAAACAATTACAACAAGGTAAAATTTTCTTACAGATAATTGTCCCGGTCAAGTATTTCCCTAAGAAGTGGTGGCACACATTTGACGTGTTTTGCAATTTCCGGCACTTTATTGTTTAGATTATTTAAATACCTTAAATTGCTTATTAATCGCATATATTTTGCATTTGATAATAAATCCGATCGATATTTCATTTGTAAATAGCGTTGCAGTAAATGAATGTAAATATTCTGTTGATCCCTATTAAGAGTATAAACATACAACACATTGCAATTAATTAGCAAGTTATAACTTACTTGATCATTTCTCTGTTGATTAAGTTTGGTCTCTCGGCGTTGAATAGTAAAATAGCGGTTAACTATAGATTAATATAAAATACAAATTTGCATATATAAATTTAGTTGATAGATATTATTATATAATGACGAATATTACCAAATCAATGATCAAATTGTCTGAATTCCAGTCGAGACCCATATTCTGATAGAAATTCTTGTAATCGTAATACGGTCTGAATGGTTGGGCAACGAAATTGATTTGTTTGAATAGATCTAACTTCATAAGTGTTGAACAATTATTTTCCTAAATCAATATTTCAATAGCAATTAGCTCGACTATTTAAAGGTATTTTGTATGCAATACTAACGGTGTCTAAAGTCCAATATTGGCCCTCAAAGTTGAAGTTTGAAATTAATCGTAAAATTTTGATTTCCAGCAAAGAGTATTTAATTAAAATCATTTGATCGCTTTGACAGATACTCTGAAAACTATTTAACCGTTTAAACAGTTTGATGACATCTTGTATATAATCATCACATTTTAAGACCAATAGATTTAAGGCATCCATAATATTGTCAACAAATGTTTTATCCGTAGGCCCTGTGATCACAATTGGCATCCCTTTGAGTATATCCAAGAGTTCACGCAATTTCGTGCCTTCAATCTCATCGTAAGTATTGCTGTAATCAGTAANTAAATCAAATAAAATTAATTAAAGGTCAGAAAATATTATATTATACTTTTAATAAAAAGTTTTATACAGTTTTCATTCCGACGGCTAAACACTTATCCAAACGACATCTCTTACAGTGTTTTCTACTTCTGACTTCAATATCGCAATTGCCCCCTAAATAACATCTAAAATCACCCTGATTGTCGTAATAAATAATATGAGTATAATATCTGTACATAACAAGCAAAATATTACCCAATTCTTGAGGGCGTTATTCTTGAAAAACAATTTACATGCTTCGCATGTCATCACATCATAGTGTTTGCCTTAAAATGTATCAAGTACATATAAGAGATTCATATTTTTAATTTATAGCCAATTATAAATACGGTACAGATAATTATTTACCTGTTGATTTGTCGCCGCAAACTAGACAAACTTTATTATCAAATTTTAATGATGACATCTTGACATGTATCACGGTCACAATAGTGAAATAATAATGAAATGTTAACTTTTTTCAATATCTAATAACATACAATTAACCAGGAAACCAGTTTTTAGTATCCAGAGTTATCAACAAATATGGTGGGAATTGTGTGTTTAGATCAAATCTCTTATCATTGATTATGTTTACTTTACCCGATAAGATGCCTAATAAATTGCATTTTAGTTAATTGTGTATATTTTGTATGAATAAAATTGTTGTGTATTTAAAAAATGTTGTTTTCTTGAATTTGCAACCAACAATAGTGACATTAACTATAACTACTTTGATTTGTTACAATTTGTTAGTTAATAATCAAAATTCATATGTGATTTCATCTTTGATTACAATGAAAAATATTGTTCAAAACATAGTTTGTCGCGTTTGTGGGGGTCGGTCAACAGGTATGTTATATAATAAAATCAAAACAAAACTACATAATAATAATAGTAACAAAACAATAAACTCATGATAAATAGGCTTTCATTTCGATGCGATAACATGTGAATCGTGTAAATCGTTTTTCCGGAGGAATGCCCTGAAAAATGCTGTAATTTTATTATTTAAATTTGTAATGAACTAAATCTAATCAAGTCCAATTTTAATTTTAGACTCGATTTGTATGCTATTTGGGAGCGAATTGTCGAATAGATTTGGAGAACAGAAATAAATGCAAGAAATGTCGTTTAGATAAGTGTTTTGCAGTTGGAATGAAAAGTGTGAGTCAAATATAAGGACTTTTTATATATAAATAAATAAATAATAATATATTTTTATAACATATTTGACAGAACCTATTGTATTCGGATGAACAAAAACAATTGAGAAAATCTATTATAGAAAGCAATAGAAAACGAAAAACAAATGAAATGACAGAAACTAATGATGAAAGTGTCTCTTCAACTCCCAGTCTATCACTGCAAACAATCAATGATATTATTATGGATGAGATATGTAACCATGAAAGTCAGACCTCATCAGACGTGTCAACAGATAATAGTTTTAGTGACCTCTCGATCAATAAAAATGCATATAATTTGGATCTGTCGGTCATACCTGTTATGAAACCCATCACTGATTATAGCAATCAGTTCAATGAATTAGAGGGCAATAAATTGACGGAACTGTTGGATGCTTTAAAACTTATGATTTCTCCGACGGCTACTAGTGCTGAGAATATAGCCCTCAATTCATTTGTAAATACAATTAATGTGATAATTATGACACATGAGAATAAGATCAAGAAAATCATACAAATGTCTAAATGTTTGACAACATTTAACAATTTATGTGATCATGATCAATTGATTTTAATTAAGCACGGTGCTATTGAAATCAGTATATTACGGATGATTTGCAATTTTAATTTTGAGGACAAATACTGGAGTATAAAAACTGTAAGAATATATCACACTTAATATTTCATTATAATGTACATACACCTAACTTTATTTCATCAGAATGATCACAATTATATATTAAAACTGGACTTTTTCGGATCGGCACCCATTGTTTCAATGGGACTCACACATTATAATAATCACAAAAGGTTTCTGGAAAATATGGGACTCGACTGGGATTCAGACACTGTTATTATAGACTTGGTATATATTATATTTATTAATTATTTTTTATAATATATTTATTCATAATTTATTCACTTTATAGTTGACTGCGATCATACTGTTTAATCCTAATCGACCACACCTTATGCATAAAAATATGATCAAGTAATACCTTTTATTTATAAGTTATAATTAATAATTATATTAAAATAACATTTCTTTTATTTGACAGATTGCAGCAAAATATTTACATTCATTTACTCCAACGCTATCTACAAATGAAATATCGTTCAGATTTTCTTACGAATAAAAAAGTCGAGCGATTAATAAATAATTTAAAGGAATTAAATATAATTAATGAAATAGTTTCGAAAGTTACTAAACATGTTCACATTGAAGGCTTACAATTTTTACCACTTTTTATGGAGATGTTTGATAGAAAGTAGAAATTCGTTACTTATTATTAATAAAATGTATGGAAATTTCTAAATAAAAATTTAGTTTTTAAAAAAGTTAAATGTTTTGTGCGCTATAATTGAAAGTTTCAAACAAACAAAATGACATGAAAGAACTTTTGTTGATTATATTTAACAACAATATTCTAGTAATTTATCAGATAACTACTTATTAGTATCCAGGGTCACCAAC